TGGATCAACGTAAACATGGGTGGTTCGTGGGGACGCAGTGAGACTTGTCACACAGTTAACGCTTGATATACTGAAGGCGGGTATAGCGAAACATCCGATATAACGCAATTCCAATCACTTGCAGTTTGCAACAACCGGTATTGTGTATAAACAGGTGGAAAATATAATAGTTAATGTTTGTTTGTCTGGGGATTTTGTCTTTACCAGCGCTTGGGAAAATAACATGTTTTCTGATCAATAACAATTTCACAAGTTTAGAAATCAAAACAGGTGAATTAGATTGTTGTTTGGCACAGAGACCTTGTGTGGGTTCCGTCGACTGTTAACTGAATGCTTTTAAATATTAAAAAGGGAAATTAATTGAAAAACAACAATCCATCCGGTGTTTTGAAAGGTCAGGCATTGGCACTAAGCACTTAAAAATCACGATGACAACCGTTGAGAGGTTCCTTTGTTTAAAAAACCCTAGAAAATAGCTCCGAGAGAAACATCGTTGCTCGGTTTTCCCACAAATTGTTTGTCGAACTTTAACCGACATTGTGGTCGACGTAAAACAACATCCGCATGGTATGGGTCAATCAAGCGTCCGGCAAATTAATTCCTCTCACATACCCTTTTGTCACACTCGGACAGTCCACTCCACACCTGGCAAAACAAAACAAGCTGGACATGAGGACAAACCTAAAGAAGAGCCCACTGCGGTATTCTGGTCGGAGCTAACCAAAGGGGTCACACTTTAACGCGTGGTGTTTACTTTTGGGCGCGGGTGTATTTATCGTGTGCAGGTTGTGATCCGCCCCCTCCCCCACCATTGATGCAGTGAATGCAGATGAACTGGAGAAGGCGTGGTGATACATGGTGGCCCTCGTGCTAAGCCTTCTGTGAAAGTACTCGCGTTGTTCGCGGGGATGTGTGTTACATCTAGCCGACATCGGGGCTCCAGGGGGCGGGTAGAGTAAGAAGGAGCAGACGACAGAAATGGGAAAGGGTGGTTGGGTCAAAGAGGGTCTGTTTAAGGAGGGTGTTGCGGGGTTTGGGAGGCATCCTTCCTCGATATAAACGGGGTGTGTGGTGCTTGGAATAATAGGACGTTTGCCAAGAGTTGTATTCGCAGATCGGACAGTCAACGTTAATAGACTGCAGGGAGTTCCAGTGTTCAGGGCTTTGGAAGATTGGAAAGAATAGATAACTGTATGGGTCACGATGACCTGGTCTCTAGGACTAAGATATCGTTTCTGTGCGAAAACGCGCTTTTAATATAATTGCATTTATATAGCGATGTGCATGTTCGCACGTGTGTGTGTGTGTGTGTGTGTGTGTGTCTGTGTGTGTGCGTGTGTTGGGGAGACGCTCTATGCAGTCGACCACGGAGACCCACACTGAAATCTTTGCACTAAGATGGCCGTGACACCCATACTGGTCTCCTTCGAAGACACAAAAACATAGATTTAATAAATCTTTCACCACAAACATCCACCACCACCAGCCTATAGTTATCCCCTTTTCAACTCTAGGCTGGAATTAAGGGACTGGATGGTCTGAAGCTAGTCTGTCCATACAGACCCTGAATCAAATATATCCCATGGAGCCCATACAAGTCTATAATATTTGGCAAGTCTAGATTGCTGCAATATCAAGGTCTCTGAAAATTAAGGTCTCTTGGCTCCTTCATATTATATTTTATAACTATAATTTAACAACTGTTTTCGTACATAATACAGAACAATTGGTCCGATAGTGTCGTAAATGATACATAACAATTGCCCCATAGTATCGTAAATGATGCATAACAATTGGTCCCATAGTGTCGTAAATGATACATAACAACTGGTCCCTCAGTATCGTAAATGTTACATAACAATTGGTCCCTTAGTATCGTACACGTTACACAACAACTGGCCCAATAGTGTCGTAAATGCTACATAACAATTGGTCCCACAGTGTCGTAAATGCTACATAACAATTGGTCCCATAGTGTCGTAAATGATACATAACAATTGGTCCCTCAGTATCGTACATGTTACATAACAATTGGTCCCATACTGTCGTAAATGATACATAACAATTGGTCCCATAGTGTCGTAAATGATACATAACAATTGGTCCCTCAGTATCGTAAATGATACATAACAATTGGTCCCATAGTGTCGTAAATGCTGTAAAATTCTTGGTCACCGAGTGTCGTCAATGTATTAGGAATCTTTGTGTACTCTATAGACAAATATCCCTTAATGTCGTAATACTACAGGAGAATGGGACCCTCAGTGATGTAAATGCTACACGTGAATGTCTGGATAAAGGAGTCTGTCTCCAAGAAGCGAACGAGAGACTAAATAACAAAAGGTGCTCAACTCTAGATCTGAATGATTTGGCAAGTCTAGATTGACTCGGCTCTTGGAAATTAAGGATTGTCCTGGGTTATATTTGGATGATTATATTTTATTTTGTATCTATATATTTAAACAAGATTTATTTCTGGGACTATTTGTCAGTCTAAGGTAAAGGGAATCCGTTCTAGTAGTAAGCCAAGGCCGAGGCAATGCGTAACCCGGAGCAGGATGAAAGAAGTGTTTGAAACAAGATGTGGTATGGCAGGGCGGCATGCTGAAACCAAGTCTTTCGGAAATGGTGGGGTTCTGAGGCGTGCAGTTTCAGATGGGGTTGTTTCGGGATCAGGGGTTCAATCCATGTGCTTCCAGAATAGATATGTGGAGGTTTGGGAAGCAACGGCCAAAGGAATCTGAAGATTAAAGATGAAGGCCTACAAAGTGAATTCTCACAGCACATTCTACGAGTCTAAAGATCTTCTGTTACAACTGAGTCAGGGACTGCCTGTGAAAGCAGCGTCCGTGTCTGTATTGTATCGTCAAGGGAAAATGCCGCCATAATAACAGAGAACCAGGCGTTTGAACCTTATTTCTGTCTTGGGTCATAGGTCAAATCTTGACGATAACATTAAAACGCCCGTCGTCAAAGAATTCCATTTATTTCAAACTGTGCAATGGTGTACTATTCAAATTGGTGAACGGTATTTTACAATATTGTCTAAAAGGCTCTATATATTCATTAATATACACATTTCATCAAACGGAAATCGACAACAATAACTGTTTGAGTGAGTGAGTATGGTTTTACGCCGCTTTTAGCAATATTCCAGCAATATCACGGCGGGGGACACCAGGAAGGGGGCTACACACATTGTACTCATGACGGGAATCGAACCCGGGTCTTCGGCGTGACGAGCGAACGCTTTAACCACTAGGCTACCCGACCGCCCCAATAACTGTTTGAAGTGTATCCTCCTTAATCCAGGAACCTCAACTGCAGACACTCCCTCCTATAAGCACATAAATTTATTTATCTCTTAGGGTGAAACGATACACCGATATTCCGATGCATCGCGATACTTGACCCACGATACGATATACGATAAACGTGGGCCCATTTATCGATACGCCACGATGAACGCAAATCTCAAGTACTGCGTTTCCTCGCTATTGTGCCTTTCAATAAACCGCTAACTTGGTTATAGCGCACGGTAACGCATGGCTCCCAAAAACGTACTTACATTTTTAATAAGCTCAGGTTTTACACTGACAGATGTTTTTCCCCATCTCAAAAAACATTTTCAGCTGATCCCCGCATGCACATAACACCGGAAATACCAGTCAGCAAAACCGAACTGAAGTACGCAATTCAATACCATCATTATACTACCTTGTTATTAAAACGTGTTCATTGTATATCTGGACATGTATTTGTAATATATTTTATTAATTTTATTCAAAATTTCATTTAATATTGTTTTCATTAAGTTAGGTGAAATCGTGTGTGAAGAGATACAGCAACCACGGTCAGATTACCGCTTTTGACGCATTGTAACGAACTTTAGTTGCTAAAGAATGGATACATATATTAAAAATGACATACTTTGACTCGTTAAAAGTCATATTTGTGGCAATTTGGCAAATGTATGTCAACATAACATTTTCGCAATCGAAATACATGTCGCGCGGGAAGTCCCTACGGTGACTGGTCAAATTGTTCCATACGTAAAAATATCCTGCAACTGCAATCACCAGTACCAAAATGCTACGCTTGTGGTTTTTATCATTTTAAATACATATATAGTAAAAGCTGCAACTAAAGTAACACGATATTGGATTATATTATTCCTGATAAAACAATTATTTCTGATACAATTTCTTCGACCATTGCATAAAAACTCTTTGAAGTTGTATCACTGGTGAAGTACATTAATTATTTTCTGGTGTTTGAACTTTGAATTGTTTTGAAGGAAAGTTAGAGAAAGTTCCACTTTGAAGCTTAACAACTTAGTCTCGTTATTATAAAATAACTTTGACTGTTCCAAACTCATGAAAGGTTCAATCTTGACATGCTTTAAGTCTTGTTTTTGTATCATTGCGTATCAAGATACGTAACGTATCGTGACCAGAATATCGAGATACGTATCGTATCGCGATCTTCCTGTATCGTTACAGCCTTATTTATCTATCTAAAAACCTGTTTATCTGGACACTGAAAATGATACCGTTCGGGTCAACGAGGTGCGCTGTGCCGTAGATTGCGACAGCAGAACACTGACAGATAGTGACGGCGCATAAACGACATTCGTGGGTCAACTGGATCAACTACCAGAAACTAATTACCCCAAACCTCTGAACAACCAGCGCTTGCAATGCATCAGCGTACAACGAATGTTTTAAAATCTTGTACTTGTCTTTGACCGAGTCCCGTGACTCGCGATGTTGACGTGAACACTGACGGGATCTGGCGGCCATGTTGACCGTGAACGTGTCTATCTATCTGTCTTGTGCTGGTGTGACCTTTGCGTTGCTTGATGAAGAGGGGTGGCTCCCAACCGCGCGGTCACTTTGTCATGTCTGTCACAGGGGAGGGGGGTCAGTGCAATGACGTCTTTGTTTGAGTAGGGTCACACTGCGGAGTATATTTCCATCTGCATCAGTGCAAGCATGGTTTTAGGTTTTCCGATGCCCGTTCGTCATGCTTGTTTCTCCGTGGGGGTTCGGAGGTGTGCAGTACGTCATGCTTGTTTCTCCGTGGGGGTTCGGAGGTGTACAGTACGTCATGCTTGTTTCTCCGTGGGGGTTCGGAGGTGTGCAGTACGTCATGCTTGTTTCTCCGTGGGGGTTCGGAGGTGTACAGTACGTCATGCTTGTTTCTCCGTGGGGGTTCGGAGGTGTGCAGTACGTCATGCTTGTTTCTCCGTGGGGGTTCGGAGGTGTGCAGTACGTCATGCTTGTTTCTCCGTGGGGGTTCGGAGATGTACAGTACGACATGCTTGTTTCTCCGTGGGGGTTCGGAGGTGTGCAGTACGTCATGCTTGTTTCTCCGTGGGGGTTCGGAGGTGTGCAGTACGACATGCTTGTTTCTCCGTGGGGGTTCGGAGGTGTGCAGTACGTCATGCTTGTTTCTCCGTGGGGATTTGGAGGTGTGCGGTTCGTCATGGTTGTTTCTCCGTGGGGGTTCGGAGGTGTGCAGTACGTCATGGTTGTTTCCCTGTTTGGGTTCGGAGGTGTGCAGTACGACATGCTTGTTTCTCCGTGGGGTGTGGAGGTGTGCAGTACGTCATGCTTGTTTCCCCGTTTGTGTTCGGTGTGCAGTACGTCATGGTTGCTTCCCCGTTTGGGTTCGGAGGTGTGCAGTACGTCATGCTTGTTTCTCCGTGGGGTGTGGAGGTGTGCAGTACGTCATACTTGTTTCCCCGTTTGGGTTCGGAGGTGTGCAGTACGTCATAGTTGTTACCCCGTTTGGGTTCGGAGGTGTGCAGTACGTCATGCTTGATTCTCCGTGAGGGTTCGGGGACGCTGTCACTGCCATATGGTTCTCGCTGATGTTTTAGTTCAGATTTCAGTTGTACAGGGTTGCACCCCTTCGAATCTCCTTCGATTCTCCCTGATCACGATCATGTTTTGTCAGCACCATACCCGTGCTCGTTTTCATTTAAGTTGTGACACGTGAAGGTCCGGGCTAGAATAGGTCTTCAGCAACCCATGCTTGCCGTAAAAGTCGACCATGCTTGTGAGAGGCGACTAACGGGATCGGGTGGTCAGACTCGCTGACTTGGTTGATTGATGCATGCCAACATATTCCAATTGTATGGATCGATGCTCATGATGTCAATCACTGGATTGTCTGTTCCAGACTAAATTATTTACAGACCGCCGTCATAAAGCTGGAATATTGCTGAATGCGGCGTAAAACAAAAAACACACACTAAAGTTGTAAATGCCAAAAGCCTCAATCAGTTTGAGCTTTCCTCCTCATCAAACTGACACGTCATTGTATGACTGAAACACTTCACAACGCAGCTTCAAACAAAACTCACTCACTCAGTCACGTATATTCATGCCCAAAAAGAATATATCCCCGTGTGTCACAAGTTTATAATCGTGAAACATAAAAGCGTCGTGTTTTTATTGTTTTCAGGGTGCCTCATAAAACGTTCACTCATGAAAACAAGTATATTTCCAACATGCATTTCCCTCGACATTTATTACACAAGAGGCACAATTCATAGTTGACATGACAAGGAGAGTCTGTCGTTCTTGACAACGGGAAAAGATGTAGCATCGTGACCACGTTCTGAAGGCCGCCGTCATCGTTTATCAACACCTCTCAGTACCGCCATGACAACTTTACGATTGTCTCCTTTTCGGCTAAGATGCATTCAAGTCTATTCTTTCCAACTACAGTTTTGTGAAGGGCCTGTCAGCCCTACGATTGCAGCAATAACTGAATATCTGAGAGGAAGTAAGCCTTGCGGAGTGGCAGCTGTCATTGGCCAAGATTAGAGTCCCTCTTACAAGACAATTATTGTGTCGCTATCTGACAGTAAGAGTCGCAATATACAAGGATTATGTCTTTTACGATCCACTTATAGTAAACCGTCATGATGTCGCCCGTTAGGCGTATTTACAGTGTGTCTGAGCGGCGATATACCAGAATGCATTGCTTTTGAATTATGGCTCAGACCGGATCTAACATTACATGATTACTTCCGGTAACAACCATTCGTGATGACAATCATTCTCGAGCCGTGCTTCGATCACGTTTTATTGCTGGCAATGTAGAGCTATAGGATATTATAAGCAAGAATTATGCTGTAGAAAACATGATAAAAACATAACATGGCAATCCAGATCAGCGACCACAAACACATAGTTTGCTCAACCGAATTTCGAAGTTACGTATACATGGTAAATATTCGAAATGATATTATAATGATATTTTGGAACCTCCTCAGTCATCCTGCTATATAGTTGAAGACATGGGCCTTATCAGAACTATCCCATGGGGGTAGGGTTAGAATAGGTCCCCATCAACCATGTTTGTGGTAAGGCGACTAAATGGATCTGGTGGTAACAGGCTAACTTGACATGGTTAGCGTGTCATCGCACCCACACGTAGTGGCTCGATGCTCATAATATCAATCACTGGATTGTTTGGCCCAGACTTGATTATTTACAGGCCGTCATACAGCTGGAGTATTGCTGATTGCGGCGTTATACATTACTTTAACTGGATACATTTCCATGGTCCCCGGTACTACAGGTAATATTACATAATAACACATAACGGGCGGTAGGGTAACCTGATGGTAAAATCGTTCGCTCGTCATGCCGAAGACCCGGGTTCCAATGCCCACATGGGTAAAATGTGTGAAGCCCATTTCTGGTGTCCACGCATGGATATTGCTGGAATATTGCCAAAGGCGGCGTAAAATCATATTCACTCACACAGTATTCATATTGATATACATAAAATACAGAGTGACCTCAGCTGCCAATTTCTGTGTCCGTCAGAAACGATGCTCTTGGGTTTCATCCAAGGGATTAACGTCAAGGTCACATTGGGACTTCCTCCACTAACAGCCTGACACACTTGGTGTTGTGATTCACTCACTCACCCTCTCCCAAAGATCGGTTAGTTTGACGCATTGAACGGATGACTATATAGTTGTATACTCCCCAGGGAGAAGAGAAAGCATATTGAATGCCTACATGCTATGCACGATCCTGAACCATTTATGTCGCAATCGTGAACATTTACTTTCTATTGCTGCTGCAATCGTTTACCAATAGATGCCTTCTGGCTTTATACTGATGCTTATCTCGAGAAAATGAGTCCAACAACATTACTGTGTTCCTTCAAGAGAATTTCACCACCTTCGCCAAGTGCATACTTAAGATTGAGTGCTTCTACACTTAATAAGTGACGCATTTGAAATAGCTTTCAACAATTATATCTTGAGACATCACGAGCAGCGTGTCATATTAATTTATTTCGCGAAGCCAGCCTTAAAAACACTCATATAAAAAAGTACCCGTTGAATTCGAAGGTACACTCGATAAATTCACTTTGACGTACATCCGAGTTCACAGACATCGCTGGATCTCAGTCCTCATCAACCTGAATGACATCAAGTGCACAACTACAGATGCAAATCTAAGGCGCACCTGTCCAAAACATAAAAGGCTCGCAGAAGTTCCAGTTATTGGTTTTGAAGACAAAGCAAACATGTCTGTAGTACAAGGGAGACATATGTACATTGTAGGATCGCGCTTTGTTTGAAAATCATAAATACACTAAGTAGAAGTCAACGAAGGAGCCGCTAGCGTGTTGGCCGACAGTAAATCTAGACCTACCTGTGACAGACTATCAGTCTTTGAAGATGCCGCTTTAAAGAGAAACGCGAGAAGAACAAGGCTATATTATCGTGTCCCCATATATCTTTGCATTTAGTTTCTTTTAATTTGCTAGAGTTGTGTAATTTACCTGATGTGTCCGTGCTGCCAGATTCAAGTATCATTCTTCGGTGGTTAAGTTGATTTAAAACTTGAAACAGTTTTTTAAAAATATGGCTCGTTGTGTGAATTAAATTTCAACCACGGGGTTAAAAGGCACGTGGGCCAACATGCTTGTCTTCTTTCACGTCCGCGCCTGCTGTCCAATCGTTTCAGAGTGAACTGATTTACAATGTATTTCTAAACTTGAATATATCAATAAAAGTGTACATAGCCTTTTATGACATCACGTAATGCTACTGATTTTTAATTGTTTATTTTCTTAAGTATTATATTTGTCATCCATTCTGACACTGACCTCTTCCATTGGGTGAAAAGGTATTGTTTTTTTATACAATCAGATGACATTTTATTCAATTACGTTATTCTTTTCTACAAGGGTGCTATCGATATGTGTGCTCCAATTTATGATACATAGAATGTGGCTTGGAACGTTGCTGTTACACTGAACAGGCTTAACAACTTCCAACGGCTGCTCTCTTATCTGTTCAACAGTTTAAGAAAACAAATCGCACAAAAATCCAATTCAGACATTTTTTACCAGCAAACGTAAAGGTCATCGATTAGCCTCCAAGTAGAGAGAAGCATATGCAGTATGGAGTGGGTGTGGCTATGCATAACAGTGATACATTGTTACAAGTTATAACGCCACAGTATTCCAGTTACGTCACGGCGTAACGTAAATAATCGTGGCGGGACCAGACAAACCAGTGATTGATGATATGAGCAACGTTCCATGTTGGGGTACGATGACATGCCATCATTCACCAAGTCATTTGATCCAACGAAGTCGCCACAACTAACAAGCACAGCTTGCTGGGGACATATTCTAACCCGAAATGTCCATGGATGTGTTGTAATTCCTTATAGGCAAGTCTAGATATGTGGAAGGACTCCAGTCTCTTATAGGGACAACGTGTTCTTATTATTTACATAATCTCGAACTTATGATTTAAACTAATAATTATTGCCTTAGAGACTTGTGCAAGTCTATCTAACCCCCTTCCCCACGTGATCTCAGTGGTAATGACTAAATAGTGTGATGATACAATTTAATGATATTGTGATATATACATTGTTATGATACATCATAATGATAACTATTATGAAACAGTGGGGTGATACAGCGTGATGGTACATTGCCGTGACACAGTGTTGCGATGTAATGACACATTGTGATGATATAGTGTAACAATACACCATGATTATACACTGTAATGACACAGTGTACTGAAACAGCCATTACAAAGGTAATGGATACCCGGGGCAGCTAATAAGACAATAATTTGCATTGAAGGATGCGTCATGGCGGCCATTAGCCTCGCTTTCGTTTCAAAGTATACAGGATCTGAAATTTGATAGACGTTTGTGTAGAGAAATAGACGGGGAAAGACAACACAATCCCACAGTAACCTCACTTCAAAGTCTATTCTCCCGATGGCCTGCAATTATAGCGATTGCTCACGAATACCTGTTCGCTATCAAAGGACTATTTTGCGCGACTTTGTCTACGGCAGAAGTGGGTGATTAGGCACAGCTTCGTCCGAGGTTTCGGTTTACACTTGAGTGGGGCTCGTACACATAATCTTTGAATTGTAAAGTGTTAAGTTTCACACGTATTTCTCTGATGTTCACATGTGGAATTCATAACACGTGTGATTGTACACAACTGTCCATTCAAA